CACACTCGTGAGTCCACACAAGGCAAGGGGTCCTCAAGGATCTTCCACCCCAAGCTAACTTACATGTGCAATATAAGTTTAAAAGCAGTTTATCATTATCAGTTCTAAAATAGTGCAATGCAGCAGATAATCATGTCATGTGTGTCAATACTATTCTACTGATCAGAGAAATGCAAGAATACGTCTATTACCCACACAATATGCAAGACGCTACTTGCTCCCACCCACGGACTCACCATCTTGTATGACGCCACATACTCAGGCTTACCGACTAAGTGGAAACAACATATACATATTATAAGCCATTGCACATATCAACTCAAAAGCATTTCAAAATATCCAAAGCATGTAACACAGCATGCATATAACCATACCCCCATGAGACATGGTGGAACCACAACATGGCTAAACCGAGGACAAGAAAGCTTTCCTTGCAAGCTAACACCCAAAGCCAAGAGTCCACAGCTCAAAGTCCAAACACAGCAGATTCACAACTGTTATGGACCAATAATATATCAATAAACATGCACCGCAAGCATACAATATTAAGACAACGCCTTTCCATTACGTTTTACGTCTTAAGGCTTCACACAAGCCATAAGCCCTTAATCACATGATTCTGACTTACATTAATTAATTACAGAAGTTCAACTTCCTCAAACTAGGGTCCACAAACCCATAGATCAGTTCTGGATGAACAGTACGCTACTGTTCCTCGCACACACAGAATATCCGGATATTCCTCGGGGACATATCCGAATATGCAATATCCGAATATCTCACAGGCAATATCCGGATATCCAGATCCTCATATCCGGATATTCCACGACAAATATCCGGATATTTTGCGACAGAATGCAGTTTCTGCATTTCGCGAAGATATCCTTCCAAGGTTCCATTTTTAACACTTCCAGAAGCTAAAACATGCATCTTAAGGTTCATTGAGGTTAATAGGATAGTTGGTTACTTGTTTAACTCATTAAACATACCAAGACATCAACTTTAACCCATTAAACTCATGAACAAGGTTGGTATAACTTACCAAAAGCTTAAACTCACCAAAAGGGTGTCTTTGGAGCTCACTACCAACTCCAAAGGTTCTGACTTCAAGGGTGCACGAAAATACCATCCAAGCAAGGATCTTTCTTCACAAAGAAGGCTCCTTGAAGCCTCACAAACCAAGAACAACACTCCACCACAACCAATCCAGCAAGTCAGCCCTCAAACCCTTCCCAAACTGAACCTCACAACTCAGAAAAGGCACCCTAAGCACTCTCCAATGCTCACACTCAAGTGTTTACTTGATCAAGAAGTGAAACAATGATCAAAGGTGGTGACTTTGGTGAGAAAAAAGAGGAGAAAGGAAGAAGCAAGGTGGCTAGTCACAAGTCTTCAGCAAGGTTCACGTAGGAGGCACAATAATGTTCTAGGATCATGTGCCACTAGTTATATATAGTCTCTTAACCAATAAACACACAGTATTAACTTTAATTGCTACACTTAGTATCTTAATCCCAAACTCAGGATTCTTAACCTACTCAATTTTACAAGAATTATCATATTTTTCTTATAATTTTCGGAGCACCTTTTCGGTACGCGCTTTTCATAGCCAGTACCAGTTTCCAGCACCAGTTCTTATTATTTTGACTTGAAACTTGTTTTTACAAGTCCTACATATTATTCTAGTAATTATCATGCACTTATTATAATTTTCCGGGATACTTTTTCGGTATGCATTTATATCGACTAGCAGAACCGGTATCTGCACTTTTCTTCCGAAAAGAGACTTTCAGCATTCTTAATCACTTACTATAATTATTAAAGCCTCGTAATAATCATTAGGGTCAATTATGAAATTATTTCCTAATTTCACATAATTAAGTGCGGGTTCTTACACTTGACAAATCACTACAACCTCCAAGCTTCTGGGTGTTTGAAAATCTTACAATCTCCAAGTTTACAGGTACTTGAAAACCTTATAATTCTCTCCAAATTACTTAGGTATTTGGCTACCTCTCAAATACAATGAGTCTTACAATCCTTTCAACTCAAGAATACAAGAAGAAAGTGTTTGGAAATAAATATAGACTCTCGAAATGTCAATATACTATTTGAAGCATTATGACTTATGAGTATATGAATTTTTAAGATATGAGTTCAAATATGTGTGACCCTTGAAAGATATGAAAAAATATGCAAATGATAGTGTAAAAGTTCTTAAAATACGCTTAATATGTGTAAAAATGATGCCCAAAATATCTTAGAGTCGTTGGGGACGTATATATAGTTTACTATTGAAAACTAGCCATTTATAGTTGCTATAACACTTTATGGAGAGCAAGCAAGTAATTGATTACTTTCGCGGAGTAATAGATTACTCGATGGAGAAATCGATTACTTTCACAAAGTAATAGATTACTTTCATCTGCAACTTATAACAAGAACATTGTTTCATATTTTAGTCATAACTTGAGCTATTTTTGTTAGATTAATGTGATCACAGTCTCGTTGAAAAGATAAAAGAGAGATATTTGGCCACATCAGCAATTCATGCAATGCGAAGCCATTGACTTTAGCATTTGGCTTGAAATCACTTGTGTTTCCTTTGTAGGTCCTTTTTTAAATAAGAGACCAATTCATTTTTGAACAATGCGTGTAGCCTTAAATAAGTAGGACTTGTTACTAATTGAGTGAAATGACTATCTTAGCTTTTTGGGTGCTTATAGAAGTTAATATTTTTATGTTTAATTTGTGGAATTTGATATATATAATTTTTTTATGTACCAACCATAATTATTTTTTTGAGGCGAGTTGGCCTTCAAGTATCCTCACAAGTTTCAATTCTTTGAGCTGACTATAAGACTAATTTCTAGTCGGGACTTAGTCACAATTAAAGTTCATCACCCTTCTTCAAATATGCATTTGATAAGAATCGAATTTATATTTTTTTCTCACTTTATTCAGCCTATGTTATCAACTGAACTATATGTGTTTTCAAATTAGGGAGATTTCCTAACTTTGACTTGTTACAAAATGCTGATTTTATGCGGTGATGTAAATACCAGTGTTATTAAAACTGGACCAGACCGGCTGGTTCAACCCGGAAATCGGTGAACCGGTCATAAGACCAGTCCGAGCCACACAGTAGATCGGTCATGTTACTGAACCGGTACAACCCAGAAAAAACTGCTACAACTCGCCAGTTTTTTACAAAAATCGGTAACCGCGGTTGGATGGCAATAACCCGGACAACTACTTTCTTCAAAGAGCAAGCGAACAGGCACATCAAGCTTCACGTGTAAAGAGTGCAGTCATATTAATTATAAAGGGTAATTTATCTCATCTTTTAAATGATGTGGGACACATTCTCTTATACTTCATCTTCCACACACTTCCCCAACATCCCCTTATCATCTTTCTCCCTCTGCAACATCTTTTTCATGTGGACCTCCACATCGCTCTTGTACCTAATGGCTCATATGATGCCAAGGGAGAGCACAATGATGGGATCCATGACCTGTGGCATTGGGGTGTTGTTGTTGTTGAAGAAAAGATGAAGAGGAGCATGAGGGTGGTTGAGTGGAACAGGAAAAAGAAGATGTGGGTCTCCTTCAGGACTATGCGGCCATGGATGGGTTCCTCTTCCTTCAACCATTGCTTCAGGAGGAGCTTGTGGGTTTGCAATTTGGTGAAGCGGGTGCATATGCTTCTGCTCCATAATCAGTGTTCTGTTCATATGTGTCAGCCATTGATGTGCAACGCTGTGAGAGAGAGAATGTATTCAGATTTTTTTCTATTGATAAATAGTTGAATTTAGAAACTTGTTTAGAAGGAAATTTATAGGGTCACACAAGGAAATTTCTTTAGAGTCGTAGTTTATGTCAGAAACAAGAAATTTTATTGGATCTGAAGTTGTAGTGAATGCAAGCATGCTCTCATATTTTGTAGTATAGTATAGACAAAACTCAGGATATGTGCATTGGTCTTTCATCCCCTTGCATTGGTTTTATTTTTTAATTATTTATATATATTTGAGTATGTGTATATTTTTTAATATAAAAATTATATTTTATATATATTTGCCGGGTCGTGCAGTTAAACCAGTGATCCAGCACCTCGACCGATTTAAAAACCGGGTCGAGTTTAATAACTTTGGTAAATATTAATAAATGAATGTCAAATAAGTAAAATTCAAGAGAAATTTAAAATAAAAAATAAAAAGCAGAAGTAGCAAAAGATTGTTGAGGGCTAAGTTAATAGGTCTAAGAAGAAGTAACTTTAATAAACCCATCCTACTTCTAATAGGCTTACATTGGGCTGGGATGGACTGGCCAGTCCAATTTCCCAAACTGCTTCAAGTGGGTAAATAAAACCTTTATCTAAATGTAGTGTTTGGTAGAAGATTTATTTTGGGATTGATGAGAAAGTGTAAGTGAATATTGGAAAATACTATGTTTGGTTCAGGTTTTTGAAAAAAATACTAGGCAAATAGCATAGATGAGAAAATAACTTGTGTTGATTTTTGGATGAAATTCACTTTTACAGAATACCACTTGAGATGTGGTATTTTGAGATAACCGGGGAAGTGAAAAAAAGTGCGAAAGGTTCTCCCGAACATAAATTTTGCAAATTTAAATAAATTTCCTGATAATATTTCGGTCAACCAAACAACTTTTTTTACATTTTCCTACCAAACTCACTTTCCAACCATTTCCTTAGTAATTATATTTTCCTATTATTTAAAAAATTTCTCCTGGACCGAACGCCCCAAATTGTACCAAACAAAGAAACCGTTGTCTAAATTAATTTTTATTTTTATTTTTTCTGATAATGACATAACAGGTCCTTCAAATCAAATCCATTTCAAAAAAATAAAATAAAAAAAGCCATCAAATGCGTAGTAGTCCTAATGCTAATGCTCTAGGTGCTGTTTCCAGGTATGATTCTTCCTTTGTTTCTTTCTCTTTATCAATAACTCTCTCTCACTTTTGAAGTTTTGTTCTTCAGTTTTTTATTCCTAATATTGATATTCAGTTTTAGATTTGTAATAATTTATATTCCTGTTGTCACAAACTGTGAATTATCGTCGAGTTGTAGATTTATTCTCTTCCATTCGCATCTGCATATCTCTTTGGTTTGAGTTGAGATGTGTCCCGTGTGTGGGCTTTAAATTAAATTACCTTTGAAGAGAATAGTTTTAGGCTGCGTTTGGATGGAGAATTTCAGAAGCTCAGGAATTTGAAAATACAGCCATATTAAATTAACCGGTTCAGTTACTTTCATTTGTTTGGATATTTAGTTATGCGATTGAAATTTTAGTGTAACATGTTACTGGAATTTTAAACTAGAGCGTATGAGAACGGGTGAGAAAGCATGGGCTTTGTTCTATCCTACTAAACCCTGTGAATTCAAGCATGAACAATAGGTTCAGAGAAATGTGCAACTCTTATCAAGTGTACAACTAAAGTGTTTTATGGAAAATTATCTCAAATCCTCTAAAAAATTACACCCCTTATTAAAATTCATTTTTTAAACACACTCTTAGAAAAGTTTGGTTTGAGGTGATGAGAACCTGCTGCTCTATTTATGGTCTGCTTCTTGTTGCTCTTTTATCTCGCCATTGTTTTTAATTACTGATGTCTGCTGTATTGTTTTGATTAGTGTTACATGCTGTTTAGTTCTTGCTGTTTGTGAATTCAATTTGTTGCTGATTATTGTGTGCATTTTTCTTTTTTGTACCCTGCCCTTTACTGCATTGCTATTGGTTGCTTATGCTTCACTGCATCATGAATTTCATGACTTATGAGGAGGATTTGTGTTTGATTGGTACTTTAATTTAATTTTATTGTTCAGGTTTTTGTGTATATATACTTAGACCGTCATCTGTTTTGACCATTCAGACTAGCTGGCTGAACCTGGACCAGAATCTTTACTGGTTCACTGTTTGGTCCGGCTTTAATAACATTGATTTTTCCTTGAAGAAAGTAAAGAAGCAAAAGAAAGCCATTGAATAGAGCTCTTTGAAGCTTTCAAATTGAATCAAGGATGGGAGACGGAGCAAGTGAAGAGCATCAAAGGTCACTAGCTGCCCCTCTCATATTTTTCATCGTTCTCGCTTTTCAGTTTGCGTCGCATTGGATTGATCACTTCAAGAAGGTCCTCTCCCTCTCTCTACCCGTTTTATTTTTCACCATTCTGGCAATTTATAAGTGATTCTAACTCTAATAATGCTTATATTATATTTTTTTATTACTGGTTCGAGATAAATCTATTTATTTGGTTCACCTTGCACAATTGGAACTTTTTTTATTTTATTTGTATGCTAATTTCTTCACATGGTAAAGATGTGCATACTCTATTTCACAAACAGTATTTTAAATTGAAAATTGTAAGGATAATAGTTTCAATTATCAAAACTTGTTTAGTTCTACCCTTTTGTGTAGTTGTTTCTTTGATAACATATAGGATAGAATGGGTAACTGATTTTTGAATTCTCGTGCTTGGATTTTCCCAATATATGGGATAGTTGAGCGGGATGAGTTGGCATTAGACCATGGTTTATATTCATTGTGACATTTTTGACTTTTTGTGAATAAGTTTTAAATTTTACATTTCAAAACTTCTATTTGATTTTTCATGTCCAAGAATGAAGATAACTGTCATGAAAATTGAATCCTTCAATAGGATAATTTTGAGACTGTTGTAGAGATAATCATCATCGATTGTGGAATGCAATTTAGCCATAGCTAGGGAGTCGGGAGATGAGTTCTTGTGTATATAAAATAAGGGCATTCATGCTAAATATGTTAAGGCTCTAATTTGAATTCACTAGTTTTCCACCATATGTATTGTTTTATCATTTTGCCCTGTGTTACCAGATCTTATGATAGTGACAAGCACACTAGGGTCAAGTGCCATTAATTGACAATCCATAACTATATCTTTAACTTTCATGAGACATAGTTGTTCCTTTGCACAATGGGCTAGTGATTGCGTACTCTGTTTCTACCATAATATTTGAAGTGCTTAGTGCCTTTTCCTGTGCTTGGTAAGATTAAGATATACTCTCTAGCACAATGAATATTGATTATGATATTAATTCCATTTAGTCTTCTGCTTTTACTACAGAGTGGATCCGTGAATGAAAAAGGAATTCAGTTGCGTGGAGAAATAAAACAACTTTTGAAGGAGGCAAGCTCACTGTCGCAGTAAGTTAATCAAGCTCACTGACTGTCGGTCTTACTTGGAACTCCAAATTCAATTGGTTATGGTATTTTTATATTTATGGTTGTTGTTTGTGTCTTTCTTCAAAAGTTGAAACAACCGACTTTCTTCCACTTTGTTTTGAGCAAATGTTGTCACTTCAGGACTAGGGATTTTATATGCTTAAGCATTTAGGCTGTGTTTATATTAATGGAAAGGGATGGAATTGGGGAAATGGAATAGCATTAGTTGCCATTGTTTCCATTGTTATTAACAGGGTGGAATGCAATGGAACCTGATGGAATCTACTCCATTCCATTCCATCCAATATTTCTATTTTCCTTTCTCCCAATTTGGGGTTATGGATATGGGATGGAACCAACTTATTGTTTATTTTTCTCCTCACCATTCCGTTCACTTCCCAAACAATGGAATTGAAAATTTCCTCCATTTCATCTTTAAATATCTAAACAATGGCATGGTAATTTATTCCATTCCATTCTACCTATCTGAAACATACAGACAAAGGCTTTGTATATGATCTGTATCAATTGTTAGAACCTCTCTCTTCCCTAATGAAAAAATCCCCAAAAATGCAGCGGTCATGGGTTCAGACTTGGTTGGGCCTTTTCACTAGTGACTTACTTTCTGCATGTGATAAATTTGACAGTTTTAAATTATATTTAATATTGGACTTGAAATGCTTAGACAAATCTATGTAATATAGAAATTCAGCTTATTAGTGGAAGAAAGAATAATTGCAGTTAAACTACTACTAGATAAGAGTTTGGTTAAGATTGAGTGGGAAGAGATAAATAACTATATCACTTAGCCATCCTTTGGATCTCGGGTTTTTACATTTCTAAACTTCACCTCTAGGTGGGGTTGCCTACATGGATCAAACAATGCCATTAATATTATGTGAAAACCAATTCTTTGAAGAGGCCATTTTGCTCTATCTTTTTAAATGGTTTCACTTTGAATTTTTCTTGGTTTTCCCTTACCTCTAATTATTAGGCTATCCTCTGTCTAATTAACTCTTTCAACTAGGGCTTCTATTGGTCTTCTCAAGTCTCCAAACTATTTTTTTAGGCCCGATTCTAGCATCTTTTCCTCAATAGGTGTCAGTCCTACTTTCTAATATAATTCATTCCTGATTTTATCTTTTCTTGTACGGCCATTCATCCAGTGCAACTTTTTGATCTCCACAAAACTTATGTTGGCCTACTGTGTTTTAGATATTTTGGCTGTAAAAGTACATGTCAAAGTAAGAGTAGTGAGGATGAAAATATTGAAGTGGGTGATGGGCTGACAGAGAGTATCTATGTGATTGGTAAAGAAGATGTTCGGTACTTAAACTTTGAAGTAACTTTACTTGATTGGAATCATGTATTGTAGTTCAGACATGTAGAATAAAGAATCAAATACCTTGGTATAAAAGTCTGAGAAAATTAAAATAGAGAAATCAAGTGGAAAGGAGGAAAAAGGAAAACCTAATGCACAAGGCTTGTCTACTTTGCAAGGGTAGAGGTGATGGTCAATTGTGCACAGCCTTATCTTTGCATTTTTGCAAAGAGGCTGTTTCTGAGACTTAAACTCATGACTTTATGTTCACAAAGGAGCAATTGTACTACTGCATGACTATAAGTAATTAAAAAAGAGATAATTGTATGATCAATGATGTGAGTGTGCCTTAGATGTGATTTTGATGATGATAGAGTGTTTATGAGAAGGAATGCATTTTTTGTTCTTCTTTAAACTTCTGTGAACTTTTCAATCTGCGTTCCTTCATTGAGTAAAAGTTACATGGCCTGCTTGCTCGAACCGTATGATTGCTACTTGCTATTGAGCTTGACTCAGCTGTTAATTTGTATACGTGCAAGTAGCCGAATGAATTGGTTGTTGAATTTTATTAATCTGTTGTATTGGTTAGAAACAATTATGTCATTCCATATTTTTGTCTCAACTACTATTTACAGGGCTGGACTTCCATTTTGCATGAGGGGGCAGCTGCTCCTTCCTTGATAAAAAATTATTCTACACATTCCGTAAACCGTTTGCAGCCCAAACCAATCATCGAAGTTTCACTCCCGACTGTTTATACGTAGAAAATGATTGGAAAAAGTTCCGAAACATAGATTTGTTGTATCTTGTATAAAACCTTTTATTTGGTGAAACTTGAAACACCTTTTATTTTCATTACTTTTGTTTTGTTTTCTATATGTTTTAGGGCCTAATTATAGTTTCTAACTAAGGTTTCAGAATCAGTGTGACTCTTTATGGAAATATCTTAATAGCAATAGAAATATCTTAAATTTAAATCTAATTTAAACTTTGAATTTCGTATGTGTATGTTTGTGAGAAACAGATAGAGTACATGAGTCATTTCTGTGTCCTCTCAGGCCATCAACCTTTGCACAAGCAGCAAAACTCAGAAGACTGGCAGCTGCGAAGGAGAGGGAACTTGCAAAGTGTGAGTTATTTCCTGTTGCAAGTCATTTTACATGTACTCTCTGTAAATGTGACAGACATATTTGAAATCTACAATTTTGAGTCTGCTATGAACTATGAAGATGAACTTGTTACAATACCTAAATAAAAAAGTTATAGTTCTGAAAATGTGTTTAGACTTTGGAAGCAACAAATAGTAATCAAAGATGATTAGGCACTAAAGATTTATGCTGTTCAATTTAACAAGGTCATTTTGATTTAGGTGGTAAATATTCTCTTTACATTTATAAAAAGAGTTGATTTTAAGCTCATTATTCCTATCCTATTCCTCATCACTTTGTATTTCCACTCTATCTTTGCTGCCACTAGGCTTATGCTATGCTTGGATAAGAAGTAAGGAGAGGGATATGTTCTCCCTCAAGGACCAAAATTCTTCGTCCACAAATTGGGAGGCAGAGGGAAATGGTTTACTTTAATTTAAATACGAAGTAACTCTCATTTGCTCTGCTATAACTTTTATTTCTCAGGCTAGGGAAAGAGAGTTCTCATTTCCTTAAACATTCAAACAAGTGAAAGTAACTCCCTCTCTTTCTCCTCATTCCCCTTCTGCCCAAATACTCCCTAACATACTATTAAGCCATTGGGAAGTTTATATGGCTCATGGCTTTCAGCACTGTCAAGTCTCCAATTCTCCATATTTAATAATCCAAAGTTTATGCACATGTTTCATGCTTTTGTAACGGTTACATGAGGAATTTAATTTTCTGTTTCCAATTCGAACAGTTACGACTGCAAATACTATGGTGCATGACTTCAAATATTGTACTGCTTAAATTTATAACAATAGATAACATGTTTTATGCACACTTATAAAGAGACAGCGAGGGGGAGAGAGAGGCAAGATAATTTTATACAAGTGTAAATTATACTCTTATTCTTAATCTTAGCCCTATTTATATCTACCAGCTCTAATTTATCAGATAAGTGAGCTGTTAGATACAAGTAATATCAATAACTAAGATTGAGAGTGACTTGAATATAAAATAATATGTTGTATATGGATCTAATTCAGAGAGTTACAATATATAGAGACTCTAATGGGCTTAAGTGAAAGGCCCAGACCTAATACAATCAGCATAATTACAGACTAATCATATCTAATCATATTTAATATATTCTAACACTCCCCCTCAAGCTGATGCGTATATATTGTGAGCACCAAGCTTGTTACAAATGTATTGAACCCGAGGACCTCTAAGAGCTTTAGTGAAGACATCCGCTAGTTGATCAGAGGAGTTGACGAAAGCAGTCTTGATTTCTCCTGACTGAATCTTTTCTCGAATGAAGTGACAATCAATCTCTATATGTTTGGTCCTCTCATGAAAGACAGGATTAGAGGATATATGTAGCGCAGCTTGATTATCACAAATGAGTGTCATGGGTTGTTTTTGTTCACAAAGATGAAGCTCCTGAATCAACTGCTTTAACCAGATTAACTCACAGGTAGTATTTGCCATTGCACGATACTCAGCTTCTGCACTAGATTGAGCAACTACAGGTTGTTTCTTGCTCTTCCACGAAATTAAGTTTCCTCCAAAGAAGACACAATAGCCGGAAGTAGAGCGCCTGTCTGAGGGTGATCCTGCCCAATCAGCATCTGAATAACCACAAATTTCTGTATTTCCCTGATCTGAATACAACAAACCTTTTCCTGGTGCTCCTTTGATGTATCGGAGGATCCTCACAGCAGCATCCCAATGTGAATCACAAGGGGAATAAAGGAACTGACTAGCCGTACTAACAGTGAAAGAAATATCTGGCCTAGTCACAGTAAGATAATTGAGCTTCCCAATTAGCCTCCGATAACGTCCAGGATCAGATAACGGCTCCCCCTGTCCGGGCAATAACTTGACATTAGAATCCATGGGTGTGTCAACTGGTTTACTCCCCAACATACCAGTTTCTTCTAGGATATCCAAGGCATACTTCCTTTGACAAATAGAAATGCCCTGTCTAGATTGCGCTACCTCAAATCCCAAGAAGTAACGCAGCTTCCCAAGGTCCTTTGTTTGAAATGTACTGAATAAATGCTGTTTTAACTGACGAATTCCGTCTTGATCACTTCCGGTGAGAATGATGTCGTCAACATAGACTAACAAATAGATGCACTTGTCAGGAGATGTAATCCTATAAAATACAGAATGATCAACTTTACTGCGGATTAAGCCAAACGCCTGAATAGCAGAACTAAAGCGACTGAACCATGCTCGAGGAGACTGCTTGAGACCATATAAGGATTTTCGAAGACGACACACTTTTCCAGACTCCCCCTGAGCAACAAAACCAGGTGTTTTTCTCCATGTAAACTTCTTCTTGTAAGTCACCATGAAGAAAAGCATTTTTGATGTCAAGTTGAAGGAGTGGCCAGTGACGAACAGCAGCAAGAGCAAGAAATAGGCGGACTGATGCCATCTTAGCAACCGGAGAGAATGTATCGTCATAATCAAGGCCAAAGATTTGAGTAAAACCCTTGGCAACTAGGCGTGGCTTGAGTCGATCATCATGACCATCAGGTCCAACTTTTACAGTAAACACCCAGCGACAACCAACTATAGACTTCTCTGGAGGAGCAGAAACAAGGTCCCAAGTGCCATTGGAATGAAGTGCAGTCATTTCATCAAGCATCGCTTGGCGCCACCCTGGATGGGAAAATGCTTCACCTGTGGTCTTAGGAATAGAAATAGAAGAAAGACTAGAAACAAAGGTGAAATGAGGTGAAGAAAGACGGTCATAGCTCAAAAAGGTATAAAGAGGATAAGGGTTACGAGTAGTACGTGTACCTTTTCTTTGAGAAATAGGAAGAGCCTCTGGTGAAGGATCCGGAGGGGAAGAATCAACTGCAGGGGGCAATGAGTCAGCAGGGGTCGAGTCGACAGGAGGCACAGTTTTACGACGTTGATAAGTGAGAAGTGGACGGTCCGCAGGTATTGAAGCAATAGGTTGCTTATCTGGAATAGAAGTACCTGCAGCTGGTAAAGACAAGTCAAGAAAAGGAACAGGAAGAACATGATCAACCTGTGACAACTGAGATGAGATAGAATTAAAGGGTTGTTGATCAAGAAAAGTGACATCAGCGGAAACTAAGTAACGCTTAAGATCGGGGGAATAACAACGATAACCTTTTTGAAGACGAGAATAACCAAGAAAGATACACTGAAAGGCTTTGGATGTTAACTTATCCTTACCAGGAGTGAGATCATGAACAAAACAAGTACAACCAAAGACATGTGGAGTTAGAGGATAAAGAGGAACATCTGGAAGCAACAGATTATGAGGAATGTCATTGTTGAGCACAGAAGAAGGCATGCGATTGATGAGAAAACAAGAGATGAGTACAACATCTGCCCAGAAGTGAAGGGGAACCTGCATATGAATAAGAAGGGTACGGGCAGTTTCAATGAGATGTCTGTTTTTACGTTCAGCCACCCCATTTTGTTGTGGAGTGTGAGGACAAGTAGTTTGATGTAAAGTACCTTGTGTGGCCAAGAAATTAGAAAAATCAATAAAAACATATTCCTTAGCATTATCACTACGTAGAATACGAATAGAAACACCAAATTGAGTATGAATCTCAGTAGAAAACTTCTTATAAATGGAAAATAACTCAGAACGATTTTTCATTAAATAGATCCAAGTGCAACGGGAAAAATCATCAATAAAGGTAACGAAATACCGAAAACCTAAAACAGACAAGGTACGACTTGGACCCCAGATATCTAAATGAACAAGAGAGAAAGGGGCATCAGCTCGTTTATTGACTCGACTGGCAAAAAAGGAGCGTGTATGCTTCCCTTGTTGACATGACACACAATCTAAAGACTGAAGACCGGATAAAAGAGGAACCATTTTCTGCAACTTTGAAAGACTTGGATGGCCAAGGCGACTGTGAATAAGTTGTGGAGATTCTGTGAGAGAGCAGGCCACTGAAGGACGAGGCACATCCAGATAATAAAGCCCCCGTGACTCATGACCCACCCCAATCATTTTCCCGGTATCCGGATCCTGCACAGAAACAGAATGGTTAGAGAAAGTAATGGTGCAAGTGAGGGAGTGGATCAACTTACTAATAGAAATTAAGTTATAAGGGATGCTAGGAATGTAATAAACAGATGTCAAGGCCAAGGTAGAGGTCGGACGAGCTTGTCCAATCCCACGAACTAGGGCTTTGGTTCCATCCGCAAGGGTAAAAGAAGGTAAATGATCAGAATAAGTAAGAGATGTAAAGAGTTGCTTATTACCACAGAGATGATCGGTAGCACCTGAGTCAAATATCCAAGTGCCAAGTGATGTAGAATGAGAAACACAAGCAACGGGATTACCAGTATATGGCAGAGACTGAGGAGAAGCCTTCCTAAGAAGAGTTTGGAGTGCAGCATAGTCCGCAGGTGAGAGAGAACCTGAACCAAATAATGCATTGTCTGACTGAGCTATATTTGCAATAAGAGAGGTGTCCCAAGGAGAACCAATAGATGCTGCTGAATCCTCCGAGGGATCAATAGATGCTGCTGCCATTTAAAGAAAATATAAAAGCCGTAAAGAAGGCAAACGATATCCAATCAAGGAGAACCACTCGTCTAAAGTGAGACCCACAACAAATCAAGCACAGATCTGGAAAGAGAAGGAGAAGGCGAGCTTCTCTGTCCAAGACCGGCCGGAAAAAACAGCCGGAAAAGGGCTCACGCACCGGCAGAAGGTGGCGCGTGAAGCCCATGCGCAGAGGACAGGAACGGCGCGTGAAGGCGCGTTGCAACTCCGATGGTGGCCGGACTTCCACAGAGGTGGTCGCCGGGAAGAGAGGATGCTGATCGCGTTCTGACCTGGTTGAAAACTCGCCGGAAAAGTGCTCCGGCGGCCTGAACAGTGGCTGACGGTGGCGGACGGTGGTTCCGGTGACCGTCGGAGGTGCTAACGCGTTCGGAAATTGCTCGGAAGGGACTTACAGTCCTTGATGTCTTGCCGGAAGGACGCACGACAAAGAAAAGATGACTCCTAAGCAGTGGGCTTAGGTTTTAAAGTGAAAACAAGATTTCTAAGTGGAAGCGAGGGTCCCCAGAGCGAAAGAGCTCTGATACCAACTTGAATATAAAATAATATGTTGTATATTGATCTAATTCAGAGAGTTACAATATATAGAGACTCTAATAGGCTTAAGTGAAAGGCCCAGACCTAATACAATTAGCATAATTACAGACTAATTATATGTAATCATATTTAATATATTCTAACAGAGTGTAAGACTTCTTTTTCATATAGTGTTGTAAATTGATCATGTTATATATATATATATATATATACCCTCAGCTCAAAACATATTCTCATTCAAGCAATCTTGTCCTCATTAAAATCATTGCACAATATAAATGACTTTTATCCTAAAGAGTTAGGGAAAAAAAAAAACCCACTTCCCATTAAATCTCGACTAGCGAGGGTAGGGGTGAGGGCAATCCTTTTGGTACGCAGCTTTATCCTTGCATATTTGCAAAGAGATTGTTTTCCGCATTCGAACCCATGTCCTTTTGGTTACAAAGGAGCAACTTTATCATTGCTCCAGGCTTGCCCTCTTCTCATGAAAGAGTTAGAGAAGGCATAAATTTTTATTTCATTTTATTTTTACATATATAAATATAAATCTCATATCCATACTTATGCAACATAGGAGACTGATTGTTTCACAAGTACTGCTGCTTAATCTGTTTCAGAACCGATTCCTCACAGTTGCTGATGCGGTTGCATCTGAGTTAAGACATTTTTTTTAAAGTTGGATCCATAAGTAGGTAGTACTCGATGCAGTCACATCAGCAGTAATGCACAATGTGTGCTGAGATTATTGTGCAAGTAGCATTACTCTAGTTTCTCAGCCTTTCCTGCTTCATAAATCTAGCATTTATAAAAAAATTGTAGTTTAAACTTAATATGCAGGTCAAAATTTACATGACAAGGACACTGCTTTGTATTCACAAGTTCTGCTGGCCTTAAAGGTATTTTCCTGATATAAGCCTTGTTTAAGTTTTAAACATGTTTTCTTTGTGAGTGAAGGCTGATAAAATACTTGTGTGGTTGTGCCATGTAGGTCCTAACATATTTAATTCTGCTTATCTGGTTTTGGAGTGTTCCTGTGGCTAGCATATCACAACAACTTGTGCAACCATTTGGTAATGAAATTATGATTAATACTTCAATTTTACTAGTTTGCAGTAGCACTATAAACTCCCTCACCCGTTTGGATAAGAACTGTCAGATTTATTAGCTTGCTATACAAAATTCCGCCTTTCTTATTTTGTTGGAATTCTGATATTCTGTACAAATGAAGAGTTGTTGACCTATCACACAAATAGCATGCCTCATTGCCTCTTATTAATGGTGAAAGAGGAAAACACTAAGATCTTATTTTGTATCCTAAATACACTTTTGCAGGGAGATTATTATCTTGGAGGACTGCAGGGGTTCAAAATAACAATATTTTGGTAAGTAATTGCTAGTATCTTTCCTTATTACATTTGAAACTTTGTATAAAAGAAGCAATGTTCAAAGTAAATGCTACCCTCTTGGGTCCCGATCATTGAATGTGCCGATATCAGCTTTTTCTTTTGCATTTGGATGAGTGAGGATTTGATCTAGTTTGTGACAGTCTCATGATACATGTGATGTTCATAATTAACTGGTATCTATGTGCATTTCACAAACAAACTTTTTTTCGCAATAAATAATTTAGTATAAATAAAAAACACTATATGAAAGCATCCACTAATTTCTGAATATCGTTTGTTTGTTTTATAACGTTGCAGGTAGGGATAATACCGTGGCTAATAATATCTACCAGGGTTAGCCGATTTATTTGTAGACTCACTCATAGCAAATAGGTTGTCATGATCTTCATCTAGAATGACGGAAAATTGCAAGCTGCTTGGATTGGTATTCTTGATTTAAAATGGAAAGAACAAAATGTTAAATAGATTTGTACGCAATGAAATTTGTTCTTTCCTCAATCCGGTCTGGTTGATCAGTTTGTAGCATTTATTTATTTTTTTGAGTTAGAGGCGACGTGTAAAATTCATTCAGCATATGCAACCTAAATTTCCATATATTATAGGCATTACCTCTCTTTTAATGCTTATGGATTAATCGTATTTATTTACTTTTTTGGTGTTGAATGAATGGGTTTGTAAAATTGAGTTTATGATTTATTTTATTTTATTTTTATTTGGAGTTTGTGAGTTGCTACAAAGAATTGGTTCAATTGAAAAAAAAAACCGAGGTTCGGTTCAAATCACTATTCCGTAGCAAGTGTTGCATGACGTTTCTTCTATTATTACTGACACGATATCATATTTGCGAGGATACAAATTTATTTTATATGATTCTATGTATATTTCTGTACTTTTTTCAAAATTAAAAAGTAGATGTAAAATTAGGGGTGATAATTTTTTATAGATCCTTTGATATGATATGAATATGACAAGAAAAATTTATGTTGGGGTTGATTCGTTTTCAAGATTATAATTTTGTTACGTTGTGTCAATTTGCATAATAAATAATAGATTTTAATATTGGTGAGATATTTATATGGTGTTATGTTAACTCACAAAATAAGTGGGTCGTGTTTGTGTAAAAAGTTTTGATCTATTTTTAAATTCGTGTTGTGTTTGTGGAGTGTACTTGTGTTTGTGTCAAATTGGTGTTGTATTAAATAAAATATTAAGCTTGTAGGACAAATAAAAAAAAAAGTTTATATTTTTTTCATTTTACATAAGAGAAGCCAAGTTTTTACATACACAAAATAAAGGTGGATTTTACCTCTATTTTTCTCCCCTCTTACCTGTGGATGCCACTTGTTATATTGTCTCTGCTACATGAGATAAATCTTCTTATATGGTATGAGAAAATAATTTTCATATATATATATATATATATATATATATATATATATATATATATATATGTTTGTTTTTTCTACAGTCAATGTAGATATTTATCTACATTGAGCCTAAAATGACGTTATTTTGAGACGGAAATCAAAATATTTTTGTAATTATAATTTATTCAAGGTTGGTTATAATAGTCTTTTTCATTATAATTTTTTAATTTTTCAGCCCAAAACAACATCGTTTTGGAAACGAATGTAGATAACTTATTTACATTCACGGTAAAAATATTAAAGCCACACACATATATATATATGGCAAATGATTTCTGCAGTTGAGTCTGCGTCAGACACAACATTTGAGAAAGAGAAATCATAAAGAGAGAGAGGGGAAAACATAATAGAGCTCACTCTTGTTGTGTATCTGTGGCTGCATAAATGATTCCTGCCTCAGCTGCAGAAGTCATTTGCCTATATATATATATGAAAAAATATTTAACGTTGTGTTATTTTAGATCCTAACTGTTGATTTCTGTCAATCAACGGTTATAATTTATTAGGTCAAATTTATTATTAATTAATTAATAAATTTGACCCAATAAATTATGAACGTTGATTCACAAAAATCATCGATTAAGATATAAAATGACACAACTTTATATCCTTTAAAATGATAAATATTTTTTTCATATATATTTTCATATTGCAAGTAATTTTGTTGGGTTGGGCTGTGTTTTGTTTTGGTCATTTGTAACTTACAGGGAAAAAAAAAAACAAAACAAAAAGAAGCAGGTGAATGTGGGTTTCCTATAGTACCCCTTCGAGCGAAGTGTCAGTGCTCCACATAGCAGAACAAAAGAATAGGGATACCTTCGTCATTGAAGGCAAAGTCAGTATTGCGCAGAATGAGAAAGGCATGAATAAATTCCAAATGAAGAAAAAAGGGGAAAAAAGAAAAGAAAAAAAAGAAAATCAAAACTTGAAAAGGGTGCGCAGTGTTCCTCGAAGAAGCTCGTTCAACGCGTGCAGCCCTAGTTAGGGTTTTCTCATACCCGATTTGTAAGAGCCTCCGTTTTCGGATTCATCTTTCGTGTGATCTCAGCGCTGGATCCGTATCGTTATCCTCCGTCGACCGAAGCGCCTTTTGCTCGATCGTTCAGCGATCTCGGAAACATGTACGGACCGAGGGGGTAAGTCGATGAATCCTGATCTTTTTTTCTGCTTTCTGTATTTGATTTTCTCTGTGGTTCTCGAGATTCTTCTTGTTGGTTATAGCCTTGAATATGTTTGTGCGTCTAATTTCCTTGGGGTTTGATTTCTATGTTGTGATATACTGATCATTAGAAATCGTGTGTGTGTTTGAGAGTTGGAGACATTTGAGCTTTTTGGTTTAGCCGTCGTACACAATTTTGTCATAAAAAAAATCCGCAGTTATTTGTTTTCTTTTCATTTCTTGTAGTAATACAAGAAGCGGAAATATATTTTATATTTGCATTTTTTATATTTTTATACACTGATATGAAATATGAAAAGAGGAAATATAAGAAAGATTTGCTGAATTTATCATGAGTATGTATTTTAATTTATATGGGGATGATGGATTAACTTTAAGATTATGATTGACTATTGTATAAAGTTATATTGAAATTATTCATATGTGCATGGCAAGGTCGTGTTGGGCGAAAACCCAATCCTACCCGCCCCATTGCCAAGCCTAATGAAGTCCTGAGCGAGGAAAATGCTTCTTCATTTTTCAGATTTTTGTCTTAGTTTCGTCTGTGTTTTAAATAATTTATATCTTTTGCCCTCATATAAGGTATTTGCATATTTTATCCATTTATTATTTGTTTTAAAAGTTTTCAACCTATGAATCTGGCTGATAAAGTATGCAAAATGTTATGAACATATATAACATTAAAAAACTTTTTGTTTTTGTTTATGTTGCTTTTATATGGTTCTTTAGCCTTAGGTATAATGCTCTACTGTTAACCTTGAGTTGCTTCCTTTGTATGAATTTCTTCTCTTCTCTTCGATGTAGTTTTGTTTGTGCCCTGTTTAATGTTATATGTCCAACTATTGAATTGTGTCTTGGATGTTTGACTGACCAAATATTTTCTCTGAAAAATATATTTTTTGTGGTCTGTGGTAGTCGTTTGGTATAGCTTGTTGATATCTGGTTACTTTCTTCTATATTGTTTGGTTTTAGTAGTTGTGATGAATATGATAAATTTATGACAGTAGGGATTAAAATTAAGTGTCAGGGAAACGTGGGTTGGGTTTGGCTTTATTAACATGTTGAGTGGGGGATTTTTTTTGGGTATGGAAATTTGAAGGGCAATGTTGGGAAGCGGGGGGGTTTCGGACGGGTACGAGGTTGGCTCAAAGAGACAAAGAATGATGGAATCCAATCCATACTTCGCAGTGAGCAGCGGAGCAGGCAGCTTTCAACCTTATGGATATGCTGGTGGCTTCCAGCCTCCTCCTCCCTTTCCTGTGGTTCGTCTCAGGGGGCTTCCATTTAACTGCACCGATATTGACATTTTGAAGTTCTTTGCTGGACTGACCATTGTGGATGTGTTGCTGGTCAACAAGAGTGGTCGTTTCTCAGGAGAGGCCTTTGTAGTCTTTGCAGGAGCAATGCAGGTTGAGTTTGCTCTACAGAGAGATCGACAGAACATGGGTCGTAGATATGTGGAAGTATTCAGGTGTAAGAAGCAGGATTATTACAATGCTGTTGCTTCTGAAGTCAATTATGAAGGAATATACGATAATGACTACCATGGAAGCCCTCCTCCATCTCGGTCCAAGAGGTTCAGTGATAAAGACCAAATGGAATACACTGAGATATTGAAGATGCGTGGACTTCCATTCGTAGTGACTAAATCTCAAATTGTTGAATTTTTTAAAGATTTCAAGCTGATAGAAGATAGGGTACACATTGCATGTCGCCCAGATGGGAAAGCTACTGGAGAGGCATATGTGGAGTTTGTTTCTGCTGATGAGGCTAAGAGAGCAATGTGCAAGGATAAAATGACCATCGGATCAAGGTATGTGGAGCTGTTTCCTTCTACACCAGATGAAGCTAGACGAGCAGAGTCAAGATCTAGGCAGTAATTGAGATATTTTGCCAGGGATTATGTATCTTGTTTTTAGGTCTTTAACCTTGTTACTCCTTTTGGTGATACTACAATCTTCTATATTAGATTATGTACTTCTATTATTAGTTCGACTTGCTGGTTATATTTGAATGTCTGAAATGGATGCATTAATTGATTGTTTATAGAAAGGGCCTTAGAATATGCGGTTTCAGTAAATTGTGTAGCCCCCCAAAGTTCCTTTCAGACATGGCAGGCTTTTGTAGATTTAAATATTTTTGTCATGTGTTTGGCCATCTTGACCTTGTCATTAATGTGTTGTTGGGTCAAGCCTGCAAGTACGGTGTAAATTAAAATAACTTGAAATAAATGTTAAAATATAGAATTGAAAATGTATTACACGGGTTTTTTTTTTTGGGTATTTAGGAAGGCCTAAGCCCACACAAACAAAAGGAAAACAGACAAAAAGAAGAACGGAACTATTACACACCACCTATTGTGGTAAACACCACCTATTGTGGTCTACCAACGGCAGCCGAATCAGCTAGAAGCAAAAGGTTAATACCAGAGGGAGGCTCCCACCAAATTCTCTTAGGAACCTCCTTTTCATCATCCAAAATGAAATTTGGCAACCAATTCGCACAAATATTCCCTTCTTTAAAGGTATGACGAAAGAACATTGACCAATTTCTTTGAGTCCATGTCCGTATGAGAGATATCAAATGAAACTCATGGATTGCTACACCATGTTTGGTGAGCAAAGTGATTACATTAAAGGAATCACTTTCAATAATCATATTGCGATAGTCTGCGCCCCAAGCCATCTCCAATTCCCCAAGAACACCCCACAATTCAGCCCTGAAAGAACAAAACTCCAACCTGTAAGGAAAATCACCCGACCACTTCTCACTAGCATCTCGTATCACACCTCCACAAGCTACAATACCAGGATTCCCACGAGCAGCCCCATCAGTATTAACCTTAATAACACCAGTACAAGGGAACAACTGCCAAGAAATATTAAGTAATCATAGTTCTGCTCTTTATATGTCTGCTAGTGAGATTACAAAAAGAATCATTTATCTCCTCAGCCAAATTACGAATGAGTCTCTCCTTATCATTTATCGCAAGCAGAGAAGCTCCATGAAGAACTTCATTACGCCATGACCAAGACTTCCAGCACATCAAGAAAAATATGGACAACCAATTCTCTGATGAATTACCTGCAACCTTCATATTAAAATTAAGAGAGATCCACTGATCCAAATCACCAAGGAAAAAACTTGGGATGTTTGCGTATGGCACAAGAATAATGGACACAAGTTATCCCCATTTCCCCATTGAGCAATTTTCACCTTGGTAAGGAGTCTACCATACATTACTTTCCACATAAGAATTTTCACCTTTTGAGGATCATTCCGTTAACTCCGCCCATGTGTGCTTGCATGCATGACCTGTCCCAAGCCAGGATAAAGGAGGAGGGTTGGCGTCAGGTGTTGCGAACCGGCCGTAAAAAACAACTATATTTTTATGTGATGAACCTATATGATTTTTCGTTGGGGCGTACCCTTCATAGCGACGCGTTGCATCGGGCCCCGGGTGTAGCGAAAAATGGGCTAGGGTCCTTGCCACAAGGCAAGGCGCTGCATCGGGCCCGGGGTGTAGTGAAAAGTGGGCTAGGGTCCTTGCCCCAAGGCAAGGAGCCAGGTCTTCACCCGGATATGGTGAGAAGTATGCCAGGGTCCCAACACGCAGATGGGCGAGCGTGGCGGGCAAGCACAGCCTAGGGGTTAAGGATGAGATTGGGAAGCTGGAACATAGGAACCTTAACGAGTAAATTGAGGGAGTTGGCAGATGTTTTTGCTAGAAGGAAAGTGAATATTGTTTGTTTGCAAGAAACTAAGTGGGCTGGAGAAAAGGCCAAGGAAGTGGATGGAACTGGTTTCATGTTATGGTACACAGGTACTAACAAGAGTTGAAATGGTGTTGGAATTATGATCGATAAAAGTTTCAGAGATAAAGTTGTGGACGTCAAAAGGATAGGCGACAAGATTATTCTGGTTAAGCTTGTTGTGGGTGATTTAATCCTGAATATCCTCAGTGTGTATGCACCCCAAGTTGGATTGCAACCAACTGATAAAAGCCAATTTTGGGAAGACTTGAAGGAGGTTTTGAGGGGAATACCTCGAGAGGAGAAGATTTTCTTAGGAGGAGATCTAAATGGTCATGTTGGTAAAAGCAATGGAGGTTTTGATAGAATCCATGGAGGTTTTGGCTATGGGACGAGAAACGAGACTGGAGAAGATATCTTGAATGTTGCACTAGCCTACGATTTGATGTTAATGAACACCTTTTTTCGAAAAAGGGAGTCACACATAATCACTTATCATAGTGGCCAAAATCGTAGTCAGATTGATTTCTTTCTGGCTAGAAGAGAAGATATAACTTCTTGTGTCGACTGTCAGGTCTATCCTGGAGAGTATGTCGGTACGCAACATAAGCTGGTAGTCTTGGATGTTCGGTTCAACAACGTACTTACAATGAAGAAGATGGCTCATAACCCAAGGATAAGGTGGTGGAAGCTTAAGGAGGGAAAAGAGAGAGAGTTCAATGAAAGAATGTTGGAGGAAGAACCTTGGGAGTTTGATGGAGGAGTAAATGCAATATGGAATGAGATGGCTAAGTGTATTCAAAATTTGGGAAGGAGGGTGTTGGGAGAAAGCAAAGGAAATGGATTACATACAAAGGAAACATGGTGGTGGAATGGAGAGGTGTAAGAGGCAATTAAACATAAGAAGGAGTGCTTTAGATCTGTGCATAAAAGTCCCAGTGAAGAGAACTTGCAAAAGTTTAGATTGGCGAGAAAAAATGTAAAGAAAGCTGTGCGAGAAGCTGGAGACAAGGTTTTCGACGAGTTGTATAAAAATCTTGGGAGCAAGGATGGTGAAATAGGTATTTATAAACTTGCAAAGATAAGGGATAAGAAAAGTAAAGACCTCACCCAAGTTAGATGCATCAAGGATGAAAATCAAAAACTTCTGGTAAGAGATGAAGATGTAAATGAAAGATGGTTGAACTACTTCAACAAGCTGTTTAATGGGGATGGAGATACAAGCGAGGTGGACTTGGAGGACGCGTATGATGATATGAATAGAAGATTTGTTCGCAGAATTAATACACATGAAGTTAAGGAGGCTTTAAAGAGGATGAAGACTAATAAAGCCTTGGGGCCTGATGGTGTCCCTATTGAAGTATGGAGAGGCCTGGGGGAGTTGGCAATAAAATGGTTGACCAATCTTTTCAATAAGATTCTCCAGACAAATAAGATGCCTGATGCATGGAGGAGAAGTATGATTGTGCCTATCTACAAAAACAAGGGAGATATACAGAATTGTTCAAACTATAGAGGCATTAAGCTAATGAGCCATACTATGAAGTTGTGGGAGAGGGTTATTGAACATCGCTTGAGGAGAGATACCAAGGTTTCTGTAAATCAATTTGGATTTATGCCAGGAAGATGTACCATGGAAGCCATTTTCTTGATGCGACAACTAATGGAAAGATACCGAGAAAAGAAGAAGGACTTGCATATGGTGTTCACAGACCTTGAGAAAGCATACGATAGGGTTCCAAGGAATGTTTTATGGTGGGTTTTGGAGAAGAAAAAGGTTCCATCAAAGTATGTAAAGGCAATCAAGGATATGTATGATGGAGCTACTACATGTGTAAAAGCTTGTAACGGAACATCAAGTTATTTTCCTACCGCGGTAGGTGTACACCAAGGGTCGGTTCTAAGTCCTTATCTCTTTGCCTTAGTTATGGATGAACTAACAAAAGATATTCAAGAGGAAGTGCCATGGTGTATGCTTTTTGCAGACGATATTGTGCTTATTGATGAGAGCTTGAATTGTGGAGAAGCACATTGGAATCTAAAGGATTCACATTAAGTCGAAGCAAGACTGAGTATCTGATGTGCGAGTTTTCTCTGGTACGAGATGAGGACCAAGAGCCCGTGCATTTAAGTGGTCAAGAGGTACCCAAAAAAGATGTTTTTAAATACTTGGGCTCCATATTACAAAAAGGTGGAGAGATTGATGAGGATGTAAATCACAGAATCAGAGCAGGGTGGATGAAATGGCGCAGTGCATCTGGGTTTTTGTGTGACCGCAAAATCCCTCTTAAGTTAAAAGGAAAATTCTATAAAACGGCAGTAAGACCGGCAATGCTATATGGCGTGGAATGCTGGCCAGCACATAGGCAACATGAGCATAAGATGGGAGTCACAGAGATGAGGATGTTAAGGTGGATGTGTGGTTACACAAGGATGGATAAGATAAGAAATGAAGATATTCGACGAAAGTTCGGAGTAGTACCAGTAGCCGAGAAGATGAGAGAACATAGATTGAGGTGGTTTGGACACGTGATGAGAATGCCCCTGGATGCTCTTGTAAGAACAGCAGTTTGTTACCAAGAACATATATTTTATTTTATTTTATTTTATTTTTCAACTGTTTTGTATTTTCATGTGGGTTCATCTACCACCGACCCCAATTAATTTGGGATAAAGGTGATGTTGATGTTGATGTTGATGTTGAGGATCATTCTGTTACCACATGCTAGACCAGTTACTGCTATTATTACCATCAGAACCAATTTGATCCAAGATTGTGTTATAAACAGCCTTCACTGAAACTGTGTTCTCACATTACACGTTTAAATTTCTGAAGAATAATATGTCTTAAGCATACACAAGTCTCAAACAAGTTAATTGAACATGTCTCACTAAGGACTCGTTTGTATGGACTTTTAAAAAGAGTACTTTTTATGTGTTGCTATTTTTAAAAGAACTTTTTTTAAAAGTTAAAGTTATTTTACATTTGGATGCAATATTTGAAAAGTACTTTTAACCAGTGTTTAAAAACCTGGCTCGGCCATCGACCCGGCCGAGGTCAGGGGTCACGGAGTCACGGGTTCAACCGGGGGGTCACAGGGTCACTACGCTGACTCGATTTTATATATTAAAAAATGTAAATATATACATCCTATATGAAAATAAAAAACAAACCTCTAATCATCAAAAATTCAAAATATACTTAACATAATTCATCAATTATAACCACAGGTTAATATTACATAACCTAATTAAAGTATCAAGATACCAAAGTACAAAACTCATATTCTAATGGGGTCACTACGCTGACCCGGTTCTGCCTCTTTTGAGAAGGTCCCTGACAGAGAAAAATTTAAAGGAAGTAAGAATGAAT